GTTAGTGGAGAGTACTTTGAGGGAATGGAATAGTTTTATTAATAATTATTATGTAATTTCGAGAAATAAAGAATCAATGACAAAACTTTTCAGCATCCCCACGTACGACGATTATGATGAAAGATCTTCGATCATCTTTGAAAGGGAAAGGGCCTTCCTTACTAACAATATAGACGAATATCTCAGAAACCCAACCGTTTGGTATATTGTGGATGGCAAGGAGCCGAAAAGGGTCAATGCTAAGACAATTCTCATCTGTTCACCAAAAAGGGATCACTATTCCAACTTTGATAAGTATCCCGGGGCAACAATACGGTATATGCCAGTATGGAATCAGGAAGAGATCGATACATGCAATGATGCGATATACTATCACCAGAGATCGAAGGTTAAACAGCTGTTTCTTAAATGGGGAGGGATTCCTCGATTCGTCTTGGAGAAGGCTAATGATCCAGTTCAGCAAAGGATGCTTGAAGACGCAATTGCCAGATGCGATGAAAGGATATTCAGTTATCTTGGCGAAAGTGAAATCCAAGATGATATGAGCCACAAGCTTTTCCACATCTGCACGAACGTCCCCATCAGGGAAAATGGGTCTGAAAATAGTGAAGTCGAATCTGCCGAAGAGGAACCATACTATACACTGAAAACTATAGCTTTTGGGTCAGATTATATAGGAGGAAAGGTTACTGAGAAACTCAAAACATTCATATCGGATAGAATACGCATAGAATTGGAAGTAAACTTGGCAATGGGTGTAGGTAATCCATTCTTAGGTACCTGTTTTGAGCAGGTTGCTCACCGAATTTTGCGCAAAGGTGGAACCTTCAACATTCGTTCTTTAGATGACCATAAAGAATACACTATAAATTTGGATCAACAAAATGACATACTGATGTTTTCTGCAATTGATCAGATTGAAGATAACAAGTACTATCAACCAGAAAGTAGAACTTTTCCATCGATTGATGCAATTATTGCTCCTAACATACTCTTCCAGATGACAATTACTATGACCCATCCCATTAAGATGATTGGTCTCAAAAAACTAAAAGATTGTAAGAAGTTGGTGAAGAAAGGTGATATTAACTTTTATTTTGTTGTACCCACACAGTTGTACAATAATTACCCAAAGCAGGACTTTGCTACCACTGCTAGTGGTATTGCCCAGATGATACCAGATTGGATTAAAACTCATGTCCAGCAATATGCTTTGAAAATTGATTTGACCTCTGAAAATTCATCAAAAAGTGGATATGCCAGTGGGAACCCTGGATCTGGATCTGGAAATATTGGTGGGAGCTCTAGATCTGGAAAAGCACAAAAGCATACCTGGAGGAAAAATGTAAAATAAAATAGTTAAACTAGTTTCATAATAGGTAGACAATAAAAGTACAGTAACATTGCACACCTATTTGGTATAAATCAAATTACTATAACATTAGCATATTTCTTCACAACACTTGCAATCATACTAAAAATTGGTAATTTGTCTTTGTTTTACAAAATTAGTTATTGGGGGATAAAGTACCTGCCATCAATTTGATGACAATGATTCCTATTATTATTTATACCAATTTATTCCACAATGCCAAATTGCACAGGTTACCTATACCTACAAAATTTCAATTGCTCATACCAATACATAGTTTTTCCATCCAAACACAATCTTAGAAGCAATATAAGCCCATATTAGGAGGACTCATCATTGTAAGGTTCCATTAGTTGCTAGTTTTTAAATTAGGTGCATCACAAGTCAGATGGTCAGATTCAGGTGTTCATGTCTTGGGAAAAACCATGATTTGGGGGTGCATTTTTATTGACTGTCTAGTGCAAATTTACATGATTGCCAGGTCACATAATACTGTTACGGTCGGGAATTAAATTGGGGTTTTGGGAGAGTGATTTATCTTTTCGTGTAGGTGTGTTCGCCGACCGGGGGATGTTACCAGGCTTAGCTCGTACTATCGCCCTTACTAC